GCTTAGCTGTTAGAAAATAAAGTAATATATTACTACTAACTTAAGTTATGTTGGTTGAGAGGAAATCAAGATATTAGGGGTATTTGCCGGGGGGGGGGGGGGGGTACTTGTTCCAATCTCGACCGACAAGATATTTTGCCTACCCTCTGATTGTAAATACCTACCACAATTCTTGCATTAATTTAATAATATGACACGAGAAGCAAGTAAAAAAGTATGACCCAGCTAATACCCCCCACCGGCAGTTAAAATCAGTAATTCGCGCCTAAAAGAAAACCTGTATTGGTCATTTGAACAAACAGAATGTATGGAATTAATTGGATGGGAACATAAACATGCAGAGGTTCTATGTCACAGTCGTTTTTTTGCAGAAATAAGAGCCGCAATTGCTCAATGGACATAAGCAGTCTTCTCCGGCAATTGGCGATGTCATGCACTGACTACATGTATTCTAGAATTGAAAGTTTATCTGTAAAGTTCCTTGTATCTTTGCCGAATTTCTTTGATTATGTGACATGTAATCTGTTGTAAACTGCATTTCTCCGTATAAAACAAACTCTTTGTTATGCTCTTTTAACATTTCTCTGTGTAAAATAAACCTCTTGATATGCTGTTAAAATTAAACTTTTTAAAGTCGGTCAAAAGGCTCTTCAAGGCCTGTTACATTATTAAACTGTATACTATATAATGCCAATTTAAGATAAAAAAAAATATTAACAAAAATTACAATATGATATTGCATTAATATTTTTTTCTACCATTGGAACTTTGATTGCTTGTATCGTTCAGACAAGGATTGAAAATATTGATAAAATTGCTTAATTTCAAATCAGAATGTATTGTTTACATTTTCTAAAGATTAAGACAAATGAAATACCCGTTTAAAATTCCTTTTCGTTCAGATAATTTTTCAGTAATAGAATGGTAAAATGATTGATTGTTTTCTTTAACAAGAGGCTAAAATGGCGCGAAACTCAGAATGATGACGGAACGTCATAATCAGTTTTACCTGTGACGTAATGAGTAAACAGTAGGCCCAAAATAGGCCCATGGCACTTAACGTAGTTTTTGAAAATAGGCCCAAAATAGGCCCGCGGCACAAAGAATGTTAAAGTGTTTTTATTCTATTACAAAAAGAGCCTTTGGAGATCATTCTGGTTTAATCAAGTGAGGATTCCCTATGAATAGCTCTATCTAAAATATTGAACTCAGCTGTTCATGACAGTGAAAAGTTAATATTATTCCTCTCTCATCACGATAGTAAAATCTGAAGAGTACTTGTTCTACGATCGGAAAGTTGTGAATTTGCTTATGGGCCAATTTAAATACAAGTTGATAAGTATTGATAGCAACGATTTCTTTGCCTAGCGCTGATGTTTTTTTTTTTTAAGTGAGCTCTTAAAATCTTTTGGATGAGATCTTTTAAAGTCAAAGTCCCGTATCAAGTCATGTATCTGTACTCTAAGTAATCCTCACTACTCAGTGACCCTGGACGCTGAGAAAGTACCTAAACTTTAGTTTCCATACAAACCAATTTTTTTTTAAAGAAGGTCAAATTTATATATAAGAAAATATGTTTCATTTTAACTGTTAAACGTTTGTTTGTCTTTAAATTACTGAGTTTGTCTGACCAATACAGTCCATTACACCTTTTGAGATTCCCATTTTGAGTGTTTAATGAATCAATAATCTAACAATTTAACGACTTACCCACCAGACATGTCCGATATTTGTTCTCCTCAAATGTGTTTAGATGGACTTATATATACATATGACTACTTTTCTTTATTATCGGATTTCATGACACATCAACTATCATTGTTACAATCACTTCTGTTGTTAGTTAAATCTGACAAGAGTCACTTTTAAATGTAAAAAGTTGTTAAAGTTTGTAAGAGGGGGGTCATATTATTGCTCAGAAGGCTCATGCTTACGAATGCCCTGATGGGAAATATAAACCTGTCTATCAAGAGACAATCCCTTAAGTACGAGTTGCTGAGCTGCTTAATAAAGATAACGATTACTTTTTGTTCAGGCCCGTAACAATTTATGATTTCCGTCTATAGAAGTAAATATGGAGCTATATTGTGAGCGTTTGACTTTGATCCAGATTTGATCCTAATGAGAAACAAGAATACTATCCTTAAAAAACTTAAGGTGATTAAACGCACCTGGTTTCACCATTTTTGGTATCATTGCATCCTGTATAATTTATACTGAAAGGAAAAAGAAGCACAGGGTTAATATATTACACAATTTTTAAAGACTTTTTTGGCCGAAAATTATGAAAACTGGTACTATACGTGAAATGTATGACGTCACGTAGGGAACGTGGTGAAAAGCCGAAAACACGTGCATATTGATGATGACAGGTTTGTCAGCACATCTTGTAATACCATGTGCGGCTATGAGGTTTACACATCGTTTTTCGATATTTTCAGACGATGTGAATTTCCTGCAATCATAGTACAGTTGAGGACAGATCCATGGGTTCTGGCTATTGCATTGTCTAAGTAAGAACTGAGGGACAACAAGTTGCTGCGCAGTTTGTTGTGAATTTTTTCATCATAGAAAATCTTATCCGTCGTCAGAGAGGGCCTGGAAGGGTTTCCAACCAACCGTAATGATGACGCGTTACAGTGCGACGTCAAGATCGTGCTATTCATCCTTCCACCTGTATTATCTCCATCCCACTGTTACTTAAACTGCTATTAAGGTATCCGACCAATATTAGGACCAAACTTTGTAATCTTAAATATCAATCGTGTATAAAATATTCTGATATTATTTCAAAGCATTTAAAAATAGAAAAAAGATTTATCCTGAAAAAATTTAAAAAAAATTAGTTGAACTTCGGTATCTCGAACACTAATATCTGGAATACTATGGAAATGTCCAATTTATTTAAAAGTTCCAGCCACTTTTCTTTAAGTATTTTACCCCTGATGTCTCGAATCCTCGGATATCTCGAAGTTTTTCTCGGACCCATCAAGTTCAAAATAACTAGGTTTGACTGTATTACCTAAGCAGTAATTAATAATTGACGATTGCATTGCAGTCTATGTAAAGAGTTAATTTTTTTTTTAAAATAAAAGAAAATAAATACTAAGAATATCAGTAATATGATGTATTTGATCATTAGGATAAAAATAGGAATAAAAAATATATTGAAAACTATTTTTTCACCAGATATGTTTTAGCATTGATTTCTATTGGGTAAAAACAAAGGGAGATAACTCTTCAAGGACAGTAAATGGTCATAAAATATCACATGTTCCGCTCTTAGGTACTGATACTAAGAAATGAAAACTGTATTTGAATATATACTGAGTAATCAGCCCATACATATTTGTTATGCATTCAATTCCAGTGAATCAGACGCTATTATGGGACGGATACTTTAATAAAGTAAGCCATCATAAACGTTACATTCACCAAAAACTGAAACAAACCGATTGCACGATTTCGGTTTGTGAGCTCGTCAACTTAAACGAATGTCAGACACTTCGGCCCAACGACACCTCGGCCCAACGACATCTCGGCCCATTGACACCTCGGCTCCGACGGGTTGGCCAAAGATTTGAGACACCTTGGCTCACATAAAAGACACCTCGGCACAAACAAAAATGTATTATTTTGAATATATTTATTCAATATATTCTGAAGTATTTTATTATGATAGGGACTATACAAAGATTATGCGACAGATTATATTGTTATATATTCATGAAGCCAGAAAGAAAATAAATGAATAATCTTCCAAGAGTAAATTGACGGTAATTAAAAAAAGATAATCCATTACCACTTAAACTTGGTGTTCCTGTCACTCGCAGAAGAGTGCGTCGTTTGCCTAATTTTTCGACATGATAACCCCCGCCCAATGAAGCCAGAGTTTGTCAAGACTTTTTCGCAATCATTAACATTTACCCTCTCTATTGGTCTCCGTAAGGTCCATCTTTCTCTCATCGAAGATCTGTGGGACTAAGTGGACGATAGAATTAAAAATGTCAAAAGCTGGCCTCAATAAACTAAGGGCTGCTTTGTTGGAAGGGCTGAATAATATCCCTATTAGAAGGATAAACACACTGATGAACTCCATGTGTAGGAGAATCAAGGCTGTGACGCGAGGGAGACATTGGAGATAATAAGATGTTCACTTTAAGGGGGTCCCGTAATAAAAGCTTCAATAACTCATGAATTATCAGTCAAAATCTAATGTGATTTTGATAAACGTTTATTAAAAATGAGTTTAATATGTTAGACAAGGATTTGGGAAAATACGTAAGAAAAAATAACAATTATTTCACCTTAAAACTATATCCTGTGTTTCTTTTTCCTTTCAGTACAATTAATCTAGTAGCCTTTTATATTGCAACCCTATTTTACTGTTTTCTTTTCAGAATTGATATTTTTCTTGTAATAAATTAAAGAACCATCATAAATATAAGAGACTAGATTGTTATCCCTCTAATATTCATATAAAAAACCTTGTTTTGACACGGGGCGTTCAGAAAAAGTACAGTGGAATTAAGTTTTAAGCAATTATTAACAATTGTAATTAACCGGAGACTGATTGACTGATTGTTTACTGTTTTACGTCCCATTCGATAATTTTTCACTCATATAGAGACGTCACCTATACCGGTGAAGGGCTTCAAATTTTGACCTTTACTCGGCACTCAGGGTCATTGAGCAGTGAGGGATCTTTATTGTGCCAGCGCCTGCAGTGACACGGGGCCTCGGTTTTAAAGGTCTCATCGGAAGGACCCACAACTTTCACTCCAAAGTGCCGAGCGCATTGCCACGGAACAGTTGCTACCCATTTTTTATCGACTTAGGTCAGTAGCGGCCGAGATTCGAAATCACGACCTCCCGATCAAGAATTGAGCGCTCTTCCGACTGAGCTTAATTACTAGGAGAAAAAAAAATAAAGAAAATAAAAATAGATAAAAAAAAATAAAATAGTGATTATATTTTACAAATACTTTTATTTCGATTCAAAGACATGAAATACATGTTTCTTTTAATTGGAAGACATCAGGCGTAACAACAACCGCAGCTCGGACGACACCAAGTACAACACCTAGCCCCAAGAAGATTTTCTGCAATAGCAAAACGTTCATCAATATATAGCAAAGATTTATACTTTTCAAATATAAAAGAAACTCTTCCAGTGGTTTTTAAAAAAGGATGGGGGTGTTTGGTAGCCAGAGAGAAAAAGATAGCTTACCTCGAAAAAAATTGACAAGCTAAAAAAGGGAAATCATCTAAACTCGGAAGTACTATTTCGTTGAGTTTAATTGAGTGGGTTCTGAGGTTGGATCCAACTTCTTTATGTACCAAATTTTAGTAAAACGCTATACATTACTACATTACCTTTATTTGACTAAACTGCAACAACATGTTGAGATTGGAGCGACTGACCTTTTATTGAACATTTTCATTAGTATAAAAATATGTTTGAAAAAAAAAAGCGGGGTTACTTGTGTGAATTTAGCTCCTTCATAAAAGGTGAGATAAATAGACTCCAGTGCTGTCGTTACGTGGAAAGTGAGCCGTTGTGACGTGGAAAGTTAAGAATATACAAATTATATAATATTGCGAGTTTAAAAAAAAAAACAAAACGTACATTTGTTGTATATTTTATGAAAATTAAATAGGGAAGTTTTTCTTTTTTTTTTTTTTAATTAATTAAATTTCGCCAAAATAATACACATTTTGGTGTTTTAGAGTATAGAAAATGCATTATGGTTCTTCTGTGTATTAAACAGCGAAGCGACAAGGTTTCGTGTGTGTTTGAGGATATTATGTGCTGCAGATTTTCACTGAATTTTAGACAGAAATTTACACTAAATGTAGATATTGTAATATATATTCACTCAAAGAGAAAAAAAATGAGAACATAATTGGATTGCAACTTACTAGCTGCAGATCTGGCAACTCGGATGGGAGCCACTGTAAGCAGAACAACAATATCTTCATTACAGAGAAATACAAATTAATAGATAATTGTGAAACAATGCAATTCAATCCTCAGTCCAAATATATAAACATTTTTGTTTCTAAATTATTTATACTGCAAACCAACTGTTATTCGTCTTCAAAAATTGTACTTCGTAAAATATGCCTACCTAACATTTTTTTTTTTATTTACACACCAATGTCTCAAACAAAATTTAAAAAGAAACGATTATTTGATAAAAACTAAATATGTACATGTATCAGATGTATATTTTCTGAAGTAATTTTATTTCCTTGCAGAAACCTCAATATGCCTATGTATATCTTGTAAAAATAAATACTCCATATCATGCACGTTACAGATACAGGTCTATAACTCTTCATATTACATTGCTTGGCCCAAATTAATTTTATTAATTAAACATGTTTCTTCTGACCTTTATGAGCATCACTGTTGTCAGCTGTACCTTCAGCGTAGGCTGAAAATACAAATGATATTCATGTAATATCAAAAAAATATTATTTAAGACCCGTAAAAAATATTTAAAGATATTCCTGAAATTTGTAACTTATTTTTGTTTTATTATTTTTTTTTCATCATTAGCCATTCTTTGTCGCGCAGACAGCGAATTTGCCATAGTTCTAAAATCATATATTAATGTTTCTAATAAATTCATCAGAGTTGATTGAAAAGCTCGTAAACAATGTCAATATAAACGAATAAGGAAATGAAAACTCACCTGATCCTAAAATATCTGAAGTGTAAATATAGAACAATCATGTGAGTGATTCTAAATAAAGAAAAATATATCAATAAAAAATACGTATACATAACTTTCTGTTATCTTTACGTTTGATTAATAAGGTTTAATTTATCGATAATTTATTTAATATTTTGTAATAAAGAAAAATCTAAGGACTTATTCCTTACACAATACAGTGATGGTTGTTTTAAATAGTTAATGTAAAAAACAATATTAATGATTGCTGCAATAATGAAAATATGATTTCTTGTTTAAATGACACTGATATCAGCAAATACAATCTATCATTAAGTCGACTGCTTACTGGCGTTTTTCATACTTATTGATACATCGCTATTTACACAGCTGTCTAAGGATGATTAGTTTGTCCGATCATGACAAGGAGCTCACCGTGGGTGAGACTGGTCGACAGGGGACGCTTACTACTACATGTCACCTGATCCACGTCTGATTTTTTTTTTATAGGTGTGTGTTAACTCTGTCCCCAATTTGTATTGTTTCAATAGACTTTTTAGCTCAAATACTGTTAGTGATCTCCATATTTCATTGCAAATGGAGAATTGAAATTAATTTCAACGTGTATATATTAAAATTCTTTCCTCAAAATTTCATTATTTTTAGTTTCATTTCTAAATTTTCAATGACAAATCAGTAAAATGAAGTGTTATCTTCAGAGATAAAAACAAATTAAATAACTTTCAGAATAATAAAGAGTATATCACAAGTACTTTCATTTTGTTCAAATGAAATCACTAATCACCGTGGAGGGATTTCTATTAAATAAACCTGCTGATGACGTATAACCAAGGGCAAATGGCGAGTCATTTGTTAACAAAATTTGAAAATAAATAATTGCGATAATTTCTGCACTATTCATCAAAACTCTTTTTTGTTTTTAAATTTCTATCTATCCTTTACGAAAATTATTTAGCATCTGCTGTCCATGTTATAACAAGCAATTTGTAAATCCAGCATGAAATGTCGAAAATTGTACGTGCATCGATCAATCAAATGCACGAAATTAATCAAAACGTGCATTTTTGTTCATTTCTTAATTGCATTGTACCAATCTGTCTTTTGAGTCATTTTTAAGCAGAAAACTAATTGCAATAATTCTATAAACAAACAAATTTTTCCAGTGAGTTCTCCATTCTTTGAATATAAAACTTACTGATGATATTTCATCAAAGATTACTTCATTTATTTTTTAAATGTTTGTTTTCAATATCGATTACATAATGGCATGTAATATAATTTTTAAATGATACTTTTATGTATTTTTATCATTTTTTTTTAATCCTGCAACGTTATTGTTGACAACTTACACGAACGATCGCGTTACACGGACGATTCAGCACGATTAACGCACGATTAAAACTGTTACACGAACGATCGTTCACGCACACGATTCTACACGTTACACGATCTTTCACGATTGCTAACGGAAACGCACGATTCTTCACGCAAAATGGTTAAATATATATAGGAGTGAACATTTTCAAAACGAAATAAGGCTTAATAGTCATTTTAGATTTCAAATTATATAATTCATCGACTTTGGAAAACTGGAAAAAAAAATTAGAAATGGATATATTTGACACTAAATAAGACTTACTAGTTATTGTAGATTACAAATTGTTTTTTACGTAACTCTCCGACGTGGAAAAATTGTTTTCTTTTCTTTTTGATCGATACGTAACGATGTAATTTATGGTCGATTGTTGCATGTTGTATGAGATAATATAGTTGGGCCTTGAGTTTTGATTCTATTGAATTTTATGATATGCAGTAAGGGGGATATTTAAAAAAAGGCATAAAAATATATTAAAACTGTATCCATCTTTCCATTTGTGAATCTCTTAAATCAAAAATTACATTTCCAGAAATTATAAAAATAAAGTAAGTTTCAGAGATAAACACTGATAAAAGCAACCCCGACAATCATGTCCTGTACATTCGCCGACTAAATAATTATGTAAGCATTGGGAATTAATCATTTACTTATTTATTTATTTGTAAAAATATACTTCTTTGATGTATTGATATACAAAATATCTTGACCACAATTAGCAGCAAAAATAATTAACATCAGAAAGATAGTCACGCTATTTGAAGAGAATATCATATTTTAAGACTCAATATATTGCATATTTACTAGCGACAATAAGTTCGTTCAGTTTTGTAAATCGCACTTCATTTATTTTATTTGAATTAAAAAAAACAACAGACAATCGAAATGCTTGTTTAACAAATAACATTCCGATAAAAACTTACAAAACGAAATTTGCACGTTTCTTACCTCACGATCACGCACAATTAAAACCGCAAACGATTGAGCCTGATACGCGCACGACCTCTCACGTTACACGAACGATCACGCACATTACATGAACTATTCTACACGATTGGTTTGTCAACAATAACGTAGCAGCCACTGTAGAACGACACGGCAAAATTATCAAAAATTACTTACTGCTCTGGTTTTTGCATTATGTATACATAGAGTGTGAAAAATAGTTAAAATTTAGTTCAAGAAAAAAAGTCGGAATATTTTGTAAATCGCCGAAGCATTGTTTTCTACCATTTCCTTATACATGTATTTTAAGAGGGCATTAGAGATTTTTTTTTAATTTGACTGTTGTTAAAGTTACAAGCATAGGATAGATGGAATAAATAATTGATTTTATCCATAATTGAATTGTTAACTTACCAGCTCCGAAAATGCTTAGAATGGAAACAATATAAAAGTCATTTCATTAGAACAACATTGGAAGGATATAACAAATATATATATATATATATATATATATATATATATATATATATATATATATATATATATATATATATATATATATATATATATATTTTTTTTTTTCAGTCTTACACTGTGCATTACTACGCCGCGTAAACATAACGTAAACATTTATATAATGTGTTGTACTTTGCAGGCACTATGCCTAAATAGTGGTCCGGGTTTGACACATGATGCAACCCTGACTACTATTTAAGCAGAGCGCATGCAAAGTACAACACTATAATTATTTTTATTATTATGCTGACTGTTGTATAAAAACGACAATTATTATATTTTCCCCATTTCCGATGTTTCATCACCTCTTACATTCATGTTAGTACACCCCTTTTATGACGTCACGTTTTTATACTTGTACGTCATAATATTTTTTCTTTAATTTTGAATGTTCTATGCATTAGGTATAATGTACAGATAGTTTCAGAGAATTTTAGTTGAGTGAAGGGGAAAAATTGCAAGAAACTATTTAAAGTAGAACCTACGTCGTATGACGTCATAGTTAAGTGAACGAATGCAAGACTGTCTCAACTAATGAAAATACACAACTGTGATAAATGAATGACATGCAACTATTTTGAAGGAATGCAAAGTTGCCAAAAAATCTTCAGTCGACTATTAAATAGTACAATATCTTCATGATATATTGTATGAGTCTTTAATATATTAAAGATAGTGTTTAATGTTTGTAATGTTTATCCCAGATAGCAAGCTTACGTTGGGCCAACGCAAGCCCAACGGTGAAAATTACGTTGGCCCTCTGTCAGTTTTATGCGTTGGCCCAACATCATCTTGCTCATCGGCCCTACGTTCAACCAACAAGTTGGCACGACGTTGGGCCAACATTTGATGGTTGGTTATCTGGCATTGGCCCAACAATGGCCCAACGTTTAACTTCCTGTTGGCCCAGTGTTGGTTCAATGTTTTTTTTATAGTTAAGAATGAATGTTGGACCAACGTTGGCCCTACGTTCTATAAACATGTTGGCAAATGATCGGCGATTGAATTATTTTAGTTCAACAATATGAATTCCTGTAAACTTTTTATTTCCATAATTACGAGTAAAACACGATTGAATAAATCCTGCATGGTAAATTAGCTTGTTCCTCAAACAAAAGTTTTATTTTTTTGTCACTCTTATGGAATGAAATCAACAGACGGAAATAAAGGTAGTTCAATGTTTTCTTAAGTCTATCCCATATCACTTCAGTCACTATATAATATTCCTCTAGAATAAGAGTCCCAGTGTTCAAATTTGTGAAACTTTGGAATGTTCTCCTGCCCATATATTACTTCTGAACCATTCACTCCTTTTTTCCTGTTTATGTTATTGTTTCTTTGTCCGTAAAATCCATGTCTCTTACACTGATAATTGAGATAAATCACTCACTGTCCATTAAATTCCAAACATCAATGGTCTTGTAACACAAAGGGTTTTCTCCCCACCAGATCCTATAAATGATATAAAAAAATATATCAGTTTAATCCGTTCAAAAATGATGTCACTTACTACTTATAAGTCGTAACTGAACCAGATTACTAGTAAATATACATGCATATTTTTTTTTTTTTTTTTGAAAATTGCAGTTCTTGAATAACTGGTTCAATTTTACAAACTATGCTCAAGTTAAAACTTTCACAGAGATAAAATTCTATCAATCACACCTAAAACGACTATACTTACATTTCATGGGCTAAAACAATCCATTTTCTCTTTCTTGCGATTCAAAACGGACACGCACATGTATATGCTTTGTTCAAGTGTTGCAAGTGATAAGATGTGACCACTCCGAGTTTACGAAACAGAGCTGATTAGGATGCCTGTTTCCTAGGAAAGCGGCCAGTCACCTGCTGAGCCAGTGGATTTCACCACTGACCTAATTATTTGGAGCTCTAAAATTCAGCACTTTAAGTTTCATGATGCTAAATATAGAATCTACAAAATTATATACTATGCAGAATAATTAAAACTTCTACATGTATTTGCAATGGTCTCGGACACAAATTACAAATATAAATCAGTAATAAAAATCTTATTTTCATAAATTAGGTTCTGGAATAATTTTTTCGGTTTTATTAACAAATACACTGTAAATTATTAATAAATGGGCTATTAAGATAATCCCTTGTTCATAATATTTTAACGAAAGATGAGATGTCTCTATTGAAAGAAGCTTAAT